ATTTGTGCAATTTGCTTTTTCATGCAACAAAGAGAAACGCCTGAAATTTGATGAAGCGACGTATCTCTCCGCGCGAGAGTCGCGTTACGACGAGACGCGATTTTTCCCCCCGAGATCTGTATCTCCCGCGGTTCTTCACGTCCAATTTCGTTTAATCCAGAACGGCGGAAAGCGAACAAGTTCATCGCCAAGTTACGCGATCGACCACGTCAGCGTTCAATCTACTCTTGACCCGTATCGCTTTTATTATCGCTTTCGCTCGTTTAGTTTAGTCAGCATCAGCTTTCGAGAAGTTCCGAGTGGCGGAACGCGTAGGGACCCCCTCGTGCAAAAGTCCCCGCACTCGGCGAATCGCGTTCAACGGCTTAACAGTTTTTTCCAGGAGCTGCGGAAAAACTGATTTCGACAATTGGGGGGGGGGGGCAGTCAGCTCCGTTTCACGACGTTTCGTTTTCTCGCGGCTAGTTTTAAAGAGCGAGTTCGCAATATCCTTAAACGGTCCATCGCGATTCACGAGTCCCGGTCCGATCGATCGTTGCCGCGCCGAGGAAGTTCGCTGTGGGAGACTCGGGCGAGATTGGGTGCCGGGAGCGGGCCCGATTGGTTAATCGTTTTGCAAGAACGTTTCACCGAGCGACGAGATCGGGCTTGGGACACTCAGGCTCCGTTCACGAGCGAGCGAAAGAGCGCCCGGTTTCGCGGCTGAAGACGACTTTGCGCAGCCTAATTCACAAGGACGTACATAAATGTGCACGATTTTGTTTTCCTGGGGAGAGAAAGATCTTAAAACTGGGAGGACAGTTCGTCGATCAGTCAACTCCGGCGAAATCTTTGAGCCTCTTCCGAGACCCGTCACTTAGCCGAATAAAACATTCGCCGAGAAAGTTCGCGATGTAAAATGATATACAAACGTAATGTGTAATTATATGAGTTGCATATTATATGCAGGGTTGCCTCCACGGGAAAATATATATTTTATTATATATATTTTTATAACGGGAGTGGGAAGTAACTCGTTACTTGTAACGAAGTTACAGTTACTTTTTTTTTGTTAACTCGAACTTAACTTCGTTACTTTCTCTCCATCTGTAACTGTAACTTAACTCAGTTACATTTTTTCGATAACTAGTAACTACTTTAATAGTTACATTAATAGTTACGTTTTATGTTTTTTAAACCTCCACAGATCGCATTAGGCCTTGCATTTGCGCATAAACGCTTTTATCGACACTTAATAATTCAAACGCAGATTTGATGCTTTTATTTTCATTGCAAGAAAGTAACGATTCGTTACTTTTTGAGTAACTGTAACTGTAACTAGTTACATTTTTAGCGAAAAAACCTGTAACTAGATACTTTTATAAAGTAACCTTCCCAACCCTGATTATATGTACTATTTAAGAGTGACCGAGGGTTAAAAGCGAATAAAAAGAATTACAAGCGCAAAACCTAGCTGACTGCGTCGGTAAAAAAGAACGATGAGGGATCTCTTAAGAGCCTATATCTCGTAATGGTGGGCTTTCCTCTATTTACAAGATATAAATTGAATAAAAATTTTCTTGGTGCAACGTGTTTTTATACAGAGCGAGAGGTTTCGGTGCGACGGTTTTGATTTCCGGGAGAAATGAATTTGCGGGAGGAATCCACGGTTTTACAGCGAACGTTTAAAGACGTGTCGGTTGGGTCGCCTCGCTTACACACACAACGAAACAAACACGCTGTATTTCCTGTTTTGCTTTGGCACCGCGAACGACCGATACCGGTATCTCGTCCTTTAGCCGTGAATAGAATTTAATGCGACACGTGGAGCGAGCGCATCGGCCTGTGATAGCTGCGAGCGGCGGCCGTTTTCGCCGCAGCCGTTGCAACATCGAGTGCGACGATCGCGCGCGTGCGAGCGGCGGGGTCGATTTCTTATATTTAGCGTCGGCTAGATTAATAATTTATAGCGTCGCACGCGACGGCATACGGCGAGTAAATTTAACATCTGCGACTCTCTTCCGCGCCGCTGTCCACCGATCGCGACCTACGGGTATCGACGCGGAGGGGCAGATTCCCGATACTAGGTCCCGAGATAGTTCGCCGTTCAGGCACATTGTGGCCGGCGATAGCGCGCGTTTTATTTGTCCAGATGCTTGAACGGACACTCGATCGCTCGTTTAAAGCTGTGCAGATCACTAAGGGCCAGTTTCACAAACGTTGGTTAACTGTTAACCAGAGTTCAGTCAACGCTCTATCTTTTTCTATCTTGTTCTCTAAGAAGAGACAGAGGATCAGTTAACCTTCGGTTAGCAGTTAACCGACGTTTGTGAAACTGGCCCTAAGAACGCGATACGCAGGCACGCGTGAAGGTCGGCATTCTTGCACGCGGCACTTTTACACGGAGAGAATTTTCTCTTCAAATTTACCCTGAAAATCATACAATCGTGGGACAACGCGACCTTTATGAGAGTTTTTGCAAATTTTCATCACCAGTAAAATGTACGTCGGATACAATTGCTAGTAAAATGTATGGCAAAGTTTCAGAAAACTCGGATAAAATTCTTCGAAATGCCACGTTGTCCCACGATTATGTGGTAAATTTTAAGAAAAAATTCTCCCGTGTACGTTGCATGTTTGCCCGTCGAGCCCCGATCGCGATCGATCACGAGGGAAAAGCCTTCCCTAGTAGCACAGTGCGTTCTCAACATTGGCCCAATACAACCAAATATTGGGCCTTGGGCCAATGTTTAACCAATGTTTGGTCAATGCACTGTTCCTGCTAGGGTTCGTCCTGCTGAAAATTCTTCCCGAAATTCTTGACACTGTTGCGTCAAACGTGTCCTAGGACTCAGAGTTTTGAGATTCTCTTTGGGGAAGCTGGTCCTGAGATTACGTCAACGATCCAGAGACGAAAGGAGAATTTATGAAATAGTAAGAGAGTAACGCGGCTACGCGGAAGGTTCTCTATCGAGTCGATTAAAAATCTATACCTTTCCGCGAATTTACTCGGGCAAACCGCGCAAACAGCTCGTGACTCGTTCAACTTGAAGTAGACTTTGTTAAACGCAATTTCAACGTAGCATTTAATTATCCCAAGACATTTAACCGACAAAATTAAAAATACGTAAAAGTGGTCTTCGACAAAATTCACTCTGAGTTTGGTAAAAAGTCAGGCAAATATTTTTCTATATACTTCCGACATCTACATGTACAAATTTTATCGTGTGTGCGAGATCGTTTGCGTTTGTCTTCTTGGTCTTTTGCCGAAGCTGCGAGAGAAAAGTCTCTTGAAAGGAACGGCGGACTCGGCGGCACGACCGGGCGCGATTCCCGCGAAGTGTCGGGGACTTTCCTTGGAACGAGTCCGCGAATCGAATTACCGAATCCGGCGATGACCGCGTCCGGCGAAAGGAAGTCCGTTAGGTGTGCGTGAGGGATGCCTAACTGTGCTCGTCGAGGGTCTGAGCCTCGGTTCCGCGAGGTTTCCTCTCTTCTGCAGGTCTTCTCGCGCTTTCTATCTCGCACCGCGGCCTCATCGATTCGCGCGGGGTCTCATCTTGCGTCGATAGCGCTCGGAAGAGAACGCCGATAGAGGATACTCTGGGGCAGAGATTGGCCAAAGTAGGTCCTCTTTCTCATTGGCTCCGCCAGATTTCCTCGAAACCGGAAGTACGCTACATACAATAAACTCAATTAAAGCTTTTATTCATGAAAATTACAAAAATTTGCGTGGCTTTTGCCATGAATTTATACAAGGTATTACACGCCGCGACACTTTCTTGCATCCTTTCTTCAAAATTACATCAATTTTGATGACAGTGTCAACTGCTTGACCGTCCAAACACATCCGGAACACCCTCGTACTGTGCGCGGCATAGAAATGACGTGCTTTCGGTTTGGAGGAAATATGGCGGACTCAGGTGAACTGGCTAATCTCTGCCTGGAGTGTCTCTAAACGCCGACGTAATCGCAATTCCATCGCGAAAAAAACAAAGAAGAAAAACCGCGGGGCGTCGCGTTCCGTGAAAAGGTGCGCTCGGGGAGCCCGCTATCAGCACTATTTAGCGCTGAAAACGTCATTCCATTCTCGTTGCTCATTATGCGTCAACAGAAAGACTGACGGCATTCTCAGCGTTAATAGCGAGCACCGCGAACGTACCCAAAATGTCCGGGGTCAAACGTTTTGTTTCGCGAGCGACGCTCTTGAAACACCGGGAATTAAAGCTGAAGTAATTGCTAAGCTAATTGCGGACGAATAAAGCGCAAGTAGAAAAACAAACTGCCATTAGTAAATTATTAAAACGACGCGAGAACTAATTAAGTGAAGATTGTGCTTATCTTTAGAGACTTGTTATCGTAACGTAATTTCATGTCACAATTTTTGCTTAATTAAATGTTGCTCTTTATCGATAAGCGCGGATCAGAAATTGTCGATATTGAACGCAAAAGTTTTAAAGCTGACGTTACTAATAATAGATAGCGTAATCAACATCTTCGTTATTATTATGATCGAGTTAGTTACGACCGAAATGCGAAACTGCGCGACAAATAATAAACACTTCGGCTATGAGTCTCTCGAAATGACATTGTACTCGGTGTTTCTCTTTCCACGCGTCTTAGATCGCCATGACAATTTCTTACGATACATTTAATTTAAATTTAAATGTAGACGATGCGACATGTCTAAAGTAAATTTGCACGAAAGAGCGACACTACGACGACATAGTGCATTATTTTACAATGTAACAATTCTTACAACACACTGTTATTCTATAATATCCAACTCGTGTGTGTGTGTGTGTATAATTAGTTACATTAATAATGACGCTAATGAAGAATGCGGTATAATCAGCACGTCACTGTTACTGCTCGTGTATCGCGCTGCGTCGCATTGTTTTATCTCTAAGAGGCGAGCGAGCGGTTCTCGCGTTAATCGCACGTCTCTCGATAGCGACATGAAATACGCAGCCGAACCCCGTTATCATTTCTGAAATAACGATCCTCTACCATTGTTTCAGGCGCAACGACCGGAGCAGAGCGTAATGCAGGCCTTGGAGAGTCTCAATGATTCACAGGTGAATGACTTCTTGTCCGGCAAGGCGCCGCTTAATCTGACGATGCGACTGGGCGACCACATGATGTTGATCCAGCTGCAGTTGTCCACCGTAACCCCGGCATCGCCGACCGCCACTCAAGCTAGCTCCGCCAGCAGTAACGGCCACAATCATCATAGCAATAGCAGCAACAGCAGCAGCAGCAACAACGTCGCCAGCTTGTCTAATGGCGGTAATGCCACGAGCATGTCCAATTTGCCTGGTGGTCACTCGTCGTTGCAGGCCAGAAGATGCCTGACGGCCAGATCACCGGGAAACATCGCCAAGCCGCAGAGCGCCGCCGGGACACCGGCTGGCAGAACGTCGCATCTAATTAGCAGCCTCACCAGCGCCCTACACGCAGCTACCAGCTACAGTAGCAGCAGCAACAGCAGCCTACCCACCGCCAGCATTACCACCACGACCACCAGCCCGGTGTGCTCCAGCCGGGTCACGGCGTCCTCCTCGTCCGTCGCGGCGGCGCCAATTAGCCCGGTGCACTCATCCTCGTCGTCCAGCAGCAACAACTCGGGCCAGTCCACACGTGGCAATTCGCACGGCGTTCCACCTACGAACGGCAATTCTTCTAGCGCGTGTCAGCCCTGCCCGCTCTATCACCACCACCATCATCATCACGGCCACCATCACGGTCATCACCATGGCCACCATCACCACCACCACCACCACCATCATCATCACCATTCGAGAAACAAACCCAGCTTGCCCAGCCTTTCCTCCTCCTCCTCCTCCTCCTCCTCTCCCTCTTCCTTCAGTTCGGGTTCGTCCCCGATTCAGGAGCAGTCTGCCTTGGAGCCGGTGTCCTACGACGCGACGCTACCCAGGAAGAAGCTCTGCAGCGGCCACCACCATCACGGCCAGCCCTCGTCGTCGGCGTCAGTTACCGCCAGTGGCGCGGACGCCACGAGGAGTCAGCACGAGGAGTCGAATCCGCAGAGCCCAACGTGCGCCTCGTCGCTGATGCTGGAGCAGTCGCCGCCCAAGCCCGCTACCCTCGACACCCGGGCGCTCGCCGAGGCGTCTCGGAACCTCACCCAGAAGCTGAAGCAGCTCTCCTCTGAGGTACTCACCTCGCGGGTCGACCTCGCAGAGGTATACATTGTTACCGAAGCCAGTTCCCCCCTGTGTATCATTATTCGTGATTCATATTCGTGATTGCACGTCGATTAAGGTCCTAAGAGGTGTGCCGTGATCGTATCCGGTCTAGTCGCGAATTGAATTGTCTGTCACGATCTCTTCACGGTCTTTTTACAAATTGGACTGTCTGTCTCAGCGAAGCGGGATTCTCCGCTGATTGATGTCGCATCTATTTCTCGACCGTAGACAAGAATTTACAAAAACTAATTCTCTCACTCATATACTCTCAGGTCCTTAAAATTGTCATATTTATGTATTATGTACTCAGCGTTATGTTATATTATTAATGTTAAGGACACATTTAAATTCTACTGTTCTATGCAAAGTGAAATGTACATTCTCCATTATACATTAATACTAATGCCATATTGCACTTTTCAAAAAATTATTCCAAGTTTAACATTACATCAGCGTGTACAATTTCTATTTTGTCTTGGAACTATATCATTTCATGTGTATAAACTTAATATTATAATTTAATTCACGTTCATAAGCTTGAAGAAAGAAATTTTGAATTCGGATCTTTCCATAACATTCCAATTTCCTACCATAGTAGCATAACATATAAGTTCAAAAAATTTTGAAATTTCAACAATGACTTAAAAAATGTAGTAGAAGGAGGAAAAAAGAGAAGGTAGAAATATATAGGAGCCAAATAGCGTGCTTGCTATCAGAAGATGTATTTCTAAAGCATTTATCTTTTTTTTTAGTTTACACTATTATAAAAATGCTTCGTGAATCGTCCTACACATGTAGGAAAACAATTAAGGACACATGGCTATGAATGCAGCGCAGAATCTTACGAGTCTCTTTAAATTTAGGAGAACGCGAGACGCAGGCAAGGAGCGATAATAGAGAGTATGCATCATCACGGCAAGGGCGTGTATTCCGGCACGTTCAGCGGCACGCTGAACCCAGCCCTCCAGGACAGACACGGTCGGCCGAAGCGGGACATTAGCACCATCATTCACATCCTGAATGACTTGCTCTGCGCGACGCCGGCCGCATCCGCAGGCCACTACAGGCATCATCATCACAGGCATTCGCATACACGCCAGCAATCCTTGATGTCCGCATCTTCGGCGGGCACCGCAGCCGCCGCGAGTGGATCCGCTACGTCGGCCGGCTGCCATGATTCCACACCAGGCTACTCCAGCGGTGTGCATTTATGGATTTTATATCGAATAATATTTTTTAAGTAAAATAAGACCGAGAGAAAAGCTCAGGATTAATATCTTATAATTGATACGTCATAATTATTAGATCTTTTGATGTGTAACTTTTTAAGAGACACCATTAATCTCCCATTAATACTAATACGTTGCGTGGTGTGTGTTTGGAATGCAGAGGAACTGTCGAAGGAGAACGAGGCGACGAAGGGCAAGATGCGCCGGTTGCGTTTAGTCATGGAGCAACGTCGCGCTAAGAGAAAAGCCAGGCGACAGGCGCGAGCGGCGCCGTACACTACGCAGTGGGCTGCGATGACTCCCGCCGACCCGAACCACGAGCCGAACACGTCGACCGCGACCTCGGGCACCACCGCCACCGCTAACAGTGCGGAGCCGCAGAACGAGCCGGAGCTTCAGCCGTGCAGCCCCGAGCCGGTCGTAGCTTAAATACCACGTCACTAACAGTCAATTCACGGCACACAGTAGTATCCTCTATATGCGTACACATAGGGTATGATTGTTGTTCGCGTTTCTACCATCGACATATGAAACGGGCTAAGTGTTGCGCGCGAGGAGCCGGCACACGCTATAGAGAAAGAGAGAAACACCAGACGTATATTTGTCTCTCTTGTTAGCATCTCATTGATCTTTTTTTGTCGTTCCACTACCAACAACTACCAATGAGATACTGGTAAGAGAGACGGAGAGATATGCCTACTCTGTTTCTCTCTCTATAGCGTATGTCGGTTCGTTGCGCGCAACGATCAGTCCATTCTACATGTCGGTGGTTTCTACCTATCGCACTGATTTATTCCGAAGGAAGAGAATGCAGGGTCGAACGTGTCCTATCACGCGCTTACATCCGCATCGCACAACACTCGTTCCGCGCAAACCAAACGCTGCAAACGTTCTAAACGTTTTTACTTGACACCTGTTTTTCTGTTGATACCCCGTACGCGATCATTACCGCGGACCCGCTGAGTTTCTCTCCGTATGATGCAAGTGTCTCGCTTTCTCCGATTCGCGTTACCTTATGCAAATAGACGTAACTCGCGAGGATTCACTGGCTGACGTATCGGAAGATGAACTCCAATCGATCCTCCCTTCCTTGCGTACAGCGCTCGGAATCACTCCTTAAGCGTTCCTTTCTCTCTTTTTTTTTATGTCCCCCTGTTTCTTAGGATCGGGAGTCTCCTTTCTCGTCACCCTCGTTTAAATTCTTTTAGAACGGAATTCTCTCTGCGATGCAACACGCATCGCATGCGTCACGCATTAATTTGCGGTCGTCCCACAAAAAACCACTTGCAATTCATCTTCATTCACGTACACATCATTCCAACTTAATCGCGTATGCTTATTACTGTCATCAATGCACAATGACAACGCGTCGCGATGGTCACACGAACGTTTCCCGTGACGCGGATGACACATGAAGCGCATCGGGGCATTTGGGCGTCTATGAAAATGATCGTGCATGGCGTTAAAACTATATATTGGGCAATATATAGCGTTACTGCTATAATAAAAATGTATATTACACATATATAATTACCATTATGTGTATTTAGTATAACGAAATACTGGGTATCTTACGGCTATCGTTTCCGAACGTTAACAAAACGGTGATCTCGCAGTGTTTGGCCGGACTCAGGACTTGATCGTAGTTGACAATAATTACGCTCGGCGAATGAATCAGTGTGACGGTTTTACGTATCTACACATCGACATCGCGCGAGAAGTCGATGAATTGTTCTGAAAGGGGGGGAGAGAGAGAGAGAGAGAGAGAGAGAGAGAGAATGAAAGAAAGAAAGAGAGAAAAATAGAGAGCAAGAGCTCTTATTAAGGCTCCTATTAAGGAATCCTATTAAGGAACTTCCTGCTAGAAGTAAAACTCGCCGATAAACACGCCACACGCGTTAAAAAATAGAAGAAGAGACGAGCAGGATCGTCATAGTTTTATCCGTGTGCGTTTGTTACGCTCTCCTGACTTGTTCTCTCGCTATCGGGCACTCGAAGTATCTTATACGTAAATGCGAATGAGAAAGCTCGATCGCGCCGTACGGATCGCGATGCGAGAGAAGCGTGGCGTCTCGATGCGGAGTCGTTGTCGCCCTTGATGTAAGAAGTAGAGAGAAGAAACGCCACGGTAACTCGCGCGTAACGGAATCTGTGCAAATTTGTACTTTGCGTCCCTCGCGGACCGATTGATCTAAATCACCGTGATTTTTTTTCTTTTATAAGTAGCAAGTGCACTTTCCAACGTCTTCTTCGGATTAAAATCGCACTGACGCATACGCGGTTAATGTACGTCGGGACATTTCCATTTGACCCTTCGGTGGTTTTGTGTGCGGGCAATGTTTGTACGTCGATCTACGTGTTGTACACTTTACTCGCGTAGGCAATGTAAAGTAACAATGCGAGAGTAAGATTTAAATGAGAGTAAAGTGAACAACACGAAAGCTTGACTGCGTTTCTCATCCAATTGTCCTTCCAATCTCTGCCTGGAAATTGGACGAAACGCAAAAAATATCGTTTTATTCAGTATCTTCCCTGCGTTTGCGTTCCTTCTTCGATACCTAATTAATATTTGTTCAGTCAATGTTCCAGATTCGTGTAGTCGTACAAACCTTCGGTCGTGGATACATCATCCCAGCTTAATCGCGTTTATCAGCTAACGGGAAAAATAGCAAAAGAAAAATGAAGACAAGGGGGGAATGAAAGATTATTTTTTACGTTGTATGTAATTTATAGAGGAATCCGAGAATGTGGGAAACCATGTGTCTCTCTAAGTGAGGTGTAAAGCGAGTTGAGTCGAGTTGGAAATAGCAATGTTCATACCAATTCTTGCGGAGTATATGACACGATGAAATATGCTGTCTTTTTTAATCGCTGATAAATCATATCTCGACGCCTGGTTACCCTTCGTCAGGATTACATTATTATATTATTCTTCGATGGATTCGAGACGAGGGAATTGGATCCACATGCTCGAAGAAGGCGTGTAAGACGGTACTATAGGATGAAAAGTTGCGTGATCGTATTACATGGCGTGCTACGGCCCCACGATTTAACTTTAAGTTAATTAGGTACTACAGATAATACAGTGTCACATACTACTAATAGAATACATTGCGTTTAGGTTTACTTTAGGAAGAAGAAAATATTATTACCATTATTACATTATTATATATCATTAGTATACCGCTATTACAATTTTTGCAAAACTGGCTCAATATTGTAATATACGACTATCGAAACCTTTATCGAGTACCAAAATAAATAAGATTGCTTGCTAAGCTAAGGACAAGTTTATTTTGCTACTCTCGTTTGCGTGCGTGAGGTGTTCTGGTACGTTACGTGTGTTTGATACGTCTCTATAATATTGTTCATCGTTTTTATGTCGACACGATTAGCAAGCACTACGAAGGAGAAATCTTTTTCGTTATTCAAAATTTAAAGGAAGGAAACATATACGAGGGATGCATTAAATTAGATTAAAGTTCATCTATAAGAAATATACAGTTTATTTCTTTCAGCACACAATGTAACGCACGCATCGTTACGATCACAATTGACGAACATTTTCCTATACTAATATCGCAGTTAAAGTTTCGCGTTGCAAATAAACAAAGTGTCTCCGAAGAAACGCGCATTACAGGGAATAAGGAAATTTCTCCAATCATGTCTGTCGTCCCAAGTAGCGTAGAGTCTGAATTGTTTAAAAGTATAAACAAGAGAGTTTCATTATTATTATCTTTGGTACCGTCCTTCCTTCCAAAATGCTGTACACGCGCGTAACACATGGGGAATCAACGTCCGAACATTATAATTAATGCGATTATCAATCTTCTAATACAAAGTGATCCTCTTTTTGATTTTCATACGGCACATGTGACAAATATTCAGCAATGCAGCGCAGTGGTCGCACGCATGTCCATGTCCGCAAAGAAAAATGGCGTTACGATTACGTGCCATGCAGATGTAAGCAATTCAAAGTGCGCAATTTTGTAAATGTTTATATCATCTTTGCACATTTTTTCAGACTGTCAACTGGCGACAGATGAGATTTCCATGACCAATTCGGAGGATGCATCATCGGAAAGCACACAAAAGGAGGGATTAAGCGACATGAAGGAGAACGACTCGATTCTCCGTTGTATATAATACAACAGTTTCTTCGAAATTTGCTAATTTGATCTCCAAGTAACGTAATCGTTCGAGAATCGAGTCGTTCTCCTTCATGTCGCTTAATCCCTCCTTTTGTGTGCTTTCCGATGATGCATCCTCCGAATTGGTCATGGAAATCTCATCTGTCGCCAGTTGACAGTCTGAAAAAATGTGCAAAGATGATATAAACATTTACAAAATTGCGCACTTTGAATTGCTTACATACTGACGCAAAATCAACAAGCGTACCACTAATACAAGGACAAATGTGTTTCTGCTGTTTTGTTCCTGCTATGACCCTATCTCGATACTTCGAAGCGTTGCTGGGACCGGCTATGTTCACGTCATGCAATCTTTTCCGCTGCACTTCGTTCTCTATCCGATATGTGGGTGGCTTAACATAACGGGTTAGTGGACGTCGATTGCGGGATAGACTGTTCTCTATCCTGCAAGATGAACATTATATATCGACTAAACTTTCGCGAGGTCGTATCTCGAATTAAACGTTCATTCTGGTCCAGAATGAAATGAAATTTACATTTCGAAGACTAAAATTGCGGAACGTTTACTTGTGGCTGCGGTCAAGCTGTCGCTTCAAATGTGACGAAGTATTCCTCTTCTCCTTTCTTTCAAAAAAGACAGAAGGAGAAGAGAAACTTCGAAGCATTTGTAGCGCCGACTTGACCGCAACCTGTATTCCATAAATTAATACAAGTATCCCGTCTTACTCTACTAGCGTGCTGCGACTTTGGTATTTGTAAGAGCGTAAAAGATCGCCAAGCGCGCCAAGAGCGGCCTGTGGATCACTTTCCAGAAGATCGAGCGGCGTCTTCATCTCTTTGTTTTTTGACCTCAAGGAGTACGCCATTTTTATCCACGCTTATCAGGAAACAAGCTAATGCTAATTCAGTCTTTGCGTTTTGCTTCTCTAGTTTCTGCCAGATCTGCCCGGAGGGAGACATTGTTCGTTAGAAAGAATTATATATATATATGGATTGGTCCACGCAAAATATAAATATTTTGCGTGGACCAATCCATATATATATTGGCGCGCTTGGCGATCTTTTACGCTCTTACAAATACCAAAGTCGCAGCACGCTAGTAGAGTAAGACGGGATACTTGTATTAATTTATGGAATACAGGTTGCGGTCAAGCCGGCGCTACAAATGCTTCGAAGTTTCTCTTCTCCTTCTGTCTTTTTTTTCTTTCTGGCAGAAACTGGAGAAGCAAAACGCAAACGACTGAATTAGCATTAGCTTGTTTCCTGATAAGCGTGGATAAAAATGGCGTACTCCTTGAGGTCAAAAACAAAGAGATGAAGTTAAAGTTATTACTTGGACGACATACAGCGTGTATACGCGGTGAATCGCGCCTATATTCGGGTGTAAGTATAGCAGTCTGTTGCTTCAGGCTCTCGGCTATCGCGATGTGCAGCACAGTGTTACCGTCTTCGTCCGTGCTACCGAGGTCCGCGTTGTAATACACTAGCAACTCTACGAGCGACCAGTGTCCATGCAAAGTCGCCAAGTGCAACGGCGTTTGTCGCCGATTGTTACGCAGATCGACCATCGCGCGGCCACGATTCTCCGAAAGAAGGATAGCCGAAACTTCCCGGTGTCCGTGCCACGCTGCAAGATGCAACGCTGCGAGACCGTCCTCCCTTTTCACGTCCACTAATTGCGCATTACGTGCATATAGAACCAGCCTCTCCATCGCACTGTGGAATCACGGATTTAAAAGATGAATCAGACAACTTTAAGTAGGGTCAAGCTAGACTTGGTGAAGTCTGTCTTATACACGTACTGAGCGTTGCCTTTGAGCGCGGCAAGATGCAGGACGTTGCAGCCCAGGTCGTTCCGTAGTGTGAAGTCAACCGTCGCCTGGGCAGACAACATCTCGAGCACGTTCAGCGCATTCCTCTCGATCGCTTCGTGCAACGCCGTATTGCCGTGCGCATTCTGGAGATTGACATGGCATTCATGCAACAGTAGCACCCTCACACCCTTCTCGTGCCGCTTGTTAACCGCCACATGTAGAGCGCTACATTTGCTGTCGTTGACGGCATTGATAGCCGCGCCACGCGACAACAGCATCTCTATTATCAGCCGCTGAGTCCTGTGTAATTGAAAGAGAGAACACGTATGTAACTGACGCTGACGAAGATCCAGCAACCATTTCCAACGTACCCGAATGCCGCGTAATGCAACGGCGTATTTCCATTCTTGTCGGTCGCGTGCACAGAGGTCACGTCGGTGTTCAGAATGAGGGTGCAGAGCTCATGCCAACCTTGGCACGCGGCCACGTGAAGGTACGTTTCTCTGCCTATGAGAGTACGCGCGTTCACCCCGCTAGGATAAATCTCGGGGAATTCTCGCTTCACATCCACGCCTGCCTTGCTTTTATCCGCGTCCTTCAACAGCTCCTCCACGTCACTGTACGCACCTTCGGCTGCGTCATGAGAACAAATTAAACATATCTCGTTTAAAACGTAGCTAAAATCATTCTCCTTTCAATAGCAATTCGACATTTACATGCGATATATTTCTAGCGCTAACAAGTTTGTAGAGGAAAGTTGTATATTGTCAAATGAATTTCTAATATGAGATAGCAGGTTTTCAACACCCAAATTCAATCACAAATCTTTTTTCGCAATGATTACACAAGCTATCAATGAATTTCGCTCCAAGGGCAATGAATTCATGGTGGAATCAACTAATGTTGCCTATTAATTTAACAGAAACCCTGCTATCACATACTGGGATCCTATCTCGTGATAGGGTACTTTCCTCTATATAATAAATAGAGACGTACTCGAACGACTTCTAGTCTCGTTCGCATTATCACGCGTGACTGGCGTGACGTTCGTGCCAGAAGACGCCGGCTCGAAGTGACTGGTCGCTGGCTTGTTCTCTATCCTGCAAAACGAATACTTTTACGTATATTTGCTGGTGAACTGTAAATCATCACAACCAATTGAGTGATTCTGAAGGCTTTGCAAGACTCGCCTTCAAAATAGAAGATCATCTAACGTCGCGTTTCAGTAAAGTTAACATTTCGCAGACTAGACCTGCGGGACTGTGTGCTCGCATTCTATAAACAAATATTCGTTGTCTTACTCTAACTGCGTGCTGTGACCTTGGTATTTGTAAGAGCGTAAAAGATCGGCGAGCAGAGCGGCCTGTGGAGCGCCTTCCAGAAGATTGAGCGGCGTCTTCTTCTGGTTGTTTCTGGCCTTCTCGAGGAGTGTACCACTTTTGTCCACGCTTACCAGGAAGCAAGCCAATGCCAATTCAGTTTTTGCGCCTTGCCTCGCCAGCTTCTGCCAGATCTGCCCGAAGAAGAAAGACGTTGTTCATTAGAAAAATTTATGTACATATATAGGATTGGTCCACGTATTCAACGCAAGAACTTGGACGACATACGGCATATATCAGCGGTGAATCCTGCCTACATTGGAGTGTAGGCTCGGTAGGCTGTTGTTCCAGGCTCTTGGCTATCGCAATGTGCAGCGCGGTGTCACCTTTGTCGTTGACGATGCCGACGTTCGCGTTGTGCTGCACCAGCAGCTCGACGAGCGACCAGTGTCCCTGCAAAGTCGCCAGGTGCAACGGCGTTTGCTGTCGACTGTTGCCCAGATCGACCATCGCTTGACCCCGGTTGTCCAAGAAGAGGACAGTCGCAAAGTGTTTGTCCCCGTTGTACGCCGCCAGATGCAACGGCGTGAGTCCGTCCATCAAGTGACGAGTTACAATCGGCGAGCGCGGTCTCCGTTGCATTGTGAAGTCACGGATTTACAGGATGAATTCGATGAAGTGTGCGAATTCTAAGCACGGTCAAGCTATACTTGGTGAAGCCTATCGTACGTACGGAGCGTTGACTTGAAATGCTTCTTCTTCTTCTTCTTCTTTTTATGAAAAGTGGTACCTGACTTGTCCATAGACAGTGAGTCCATAGACTTTCTCGATTCAGCCGGCGTCATACCTAGGACCGGTAAATTTCTAATGTTTACTTGTGCCCCTCTCCAGGGGTACGTTCCGTTTCACGCATGATACGCGTGATGCATCGTTTATCCTTCTTTAACATTTGGTGAATAACAAGGATAAATAATGCATCATGCGCATCATGCGTGAAACGGAACGTACCTCCGGCCTCGCGGCCCGTTTCATGGTCATGAAAGTTTACCGAGGGTTGGCGGTCTTTAATAGCAGAGTTGGGAAGAAAGTTACTTGACAAACTAGCAAGAATTCTTAAAAGTCGCCAGAAGTAATTAATAACATCAGTGATTTTTATTGACCGTATCTGGCAATGAAAATTCTTATTGCGAAAAATATTACCCCAGCCAGGATTCGAACCTGGGCCTCCCCCAATCATATTAAGAAATCATTGAGCGCACATGCGGGGTCTATAATGAGAGTCGCAGAGTCGCAGCCGTAAGAATAATCGACTATGATTGGTCAATTCTTATGTGCTTGACGGAACTGATCAATCGCAGTCGATTATTCTTACGACCTCTCATTGTAGACCCAGCGTTACTCAACAGTTGTGCCTGCTGAACGTGGCTAACGCGAAAGAAAAATCTTTCTCGTTACACAAGTTTTAAAAGAAGGAAACTCGTACGAGGGACGCACTGATATAGACCAAAGTTCGTCTACCGTCAAATTGTTTATTTAAATTATGTCTTAAATTACAATTGTAGAAATCTATCGACGCTTAAGAGATACGCTGCAGCTTTGTCATAATATAACATCTTTCGCAGTATACGCCGCAAATATCTAAACGACAATACAGCTATTATTATAAAAACTGAAAGGTATGAAGAGAGAGAGAGGGGAAAAAGATAAAGGAAGAAAAGTAATATCATCTTCAAATCAGATTGGCATTGTCGCAAATCGTACGTTTCTCGTCGTGAACGTAAAATTCGCGATGCGTTACCCTGAAAGAACCGCCTCGGCGCGTAATAATTCATAAAAATCATTCTCCAGCCAACAGTATAGAAATTACGCGCGCCGACATGAAAAAAAAATCAATTGATTACGCATCCTTCGATACGCTCCGGAGTACATCTCACGATTTTCTCGTATCAAACGGGACGCGTCCCGAGTCCGAGTTTTCTTTTTCGTTGTGTTGAGTAGAAAGGCAAGACGTCTAATACTGATGGGAAAAAAATTCATCCAGAAATCACATCCGTAGAGTTTCTTTCTCCGGTAATCCTGAGAATCCCCAAAAGACCGATCCTCGTGTTTAATAAGCTTACACCACGGCAAATGTCGGCTTCTCTGTTATACGCGAACTTTCCTTTCGTTCGAAGGTGCGTTCGCAGCGGGAAGCGCGCTTAAAATTAATTGGTTCCACTGCTGTCGCATTCGATCACAAACGAATCACTTTGTATATACAAAACGAGTACAATTATTCTATCTAGAAAATTTGGCTATAAGACTGGATGTTTCCCTTTAGCGTGTCTTAATCAATTACGCGGAACGTTCATCGAACGACGTAAATGCGACGTGGGGGAAAAGGGGATACATTTAAACGCCGCACAGACTTTTGGATTTGCGCAATATGAATATTAAGTATCAAAGATACTTTCGCCACTTCTATCGGAATGCTCTGGGATACCGTGCAATGTAAAACACCGAAAACATTCCATCGCGATACTTAAATCGTATTAAATATCTAGCCTTGCCAAGTAGCGAGTACACAATAGTACAACTCCACTTTACTATTAATAACGTTTAAAAAAGTGACAAAGATTTTCAAAACTTAATCAGCAAAAACTCTCTCGGCAAAAATTTATAGAGAAAAACTTCTCAAGTATAACAAACGTAAAAATCGAGACGATAAATGAGGAATTATCTAAATGTGCCCCCTTTCCTTCTACTGCGCGAGTAAAGCAGCAGAAGTCCACACAGTTTGGAAGGTTTTCAAACACGTGGAAACAGTATTCTTCTTCTCTCCTCGCAATAATGTGGCGATATGTACGAACGTCTCTATGAGCTCCTATGATTGCTGTCGCATAAGCACGATCGCGTTTTCTACGCCGAGATGGGAAGCTCGTTCTTTCGTGCTCGTTACCCGCGCTCTCTTCAAACATGGATAAAAAATGGACGGGATAAAGCACAGGCGAAAACGCCGATTTCGTGAGGAAGGAAAAACGTACACGATGTACAAACGTACGTCGCACGTGTTCGTCGGGACACAAGATACTAATTTATCTTTAATAATCGATTACCAATTTACCGGAAGAGAAAACGGAAGGTAACGTAAGACCAAGTTATCTCGTGTCCGAGCGAACAATCTATTTCGCTATGGCACGACGATGGTGCGATATAACGGAGAGCTTCATCTCTTTCGTCCCTTCGTACAAATTGTCGCGGAAAAGAAATATACATTTTGGCAGTTTAACTTCTTCAGCGCACAATGCACGCATTGTCACGATTAATTGGTAAACATTTTCCTACGCTGATACCGCGATTGGCAGACTTCCCCATTGCAAATTATCAGTGTATCTCGGGAGGAACGTGCAATATAGCGAATAAAGTAATTCCTCTGAACGCATGTCTCTCGTCCCGGTGTGGAGAATCTAAATTGTTTAAAACTAGACACAACAGAGCAGTTTTACTATTATTATCATTGGTACCGGCCTTTCCTCCCGAGACACGACGTACATTCGCGCAACGCGTGGGAAATAAATGTCTCTATACAAGCGTGCGATTATCTAATACAAATTGATCTTCTTCGTGATTGTTTTGCGGCACATATGACAGGTTTTCAGCGGTGCAGCGCAGTGCTCGCACGCGCCATGTCCACAAAGAAAGGCAACATTACGACGACGCTCCATGCAGATGCTGCACATATTCGCTTCCTCGAGATCCGCGACTCTGGTCTCCAAGTAACGTAGTCGTTCGAGATCCTTGTCCTTTTCCTTCTCCCTGTCGACGATCTCCTCCTTCCGTTTGCCCTCCAACGAGTCCTTCGATCTGTCCTCCGGATTGGCTATGGAACCCTCACCTGTCGCCAGCTGACCGTCTGGAAAAATACACGAAGATGATGTAAAGTATTCGTACGGTATCCAATTTATAGCTATAATTTGTTGTACACAATATTCCGCTGGTACAACAAACGCTTAGATTCTTTGATCAATTTAGATCGCTTGTGAAAGATAGGTAAAACCGCGCACCTTGAAGCGCTTGCGTTTTAACGACGGTATGGCCGCAACGTGCACAACCAACGAGCGTAACGCTACTGCTAGGATCAATTCGGTTCTCCTGCTTCGCGTCTGCTATAATCCCCGAGCAATTCCGACACTCCGCTGCGTCGCCAGAACCGGCTACATTCTTCTTCGCGCCACGCAATCCTTCCGACTGCGATATGTTGTCTATCCGATACGTAGGTGGCTCAACGTAACCGGTTGATGGATTGTTCTCTATCCTGCAAGATAAATATTTTACATGTTTATTGATGAACTGTAAATCATCAAAACCAATTGAGTGATTCTGAAAGCGCTTGCAAGACTAGTCTTCAAAAAAACAAGATCATTTTAACGTCGCGTCTCAGTCAGGTTTACATTGTGAAGATTAAACGAGCGTTCACTCGTATTGTATAAGTATTGTATCTCATCTTACTCTAATTGCGTGCTGTGACTTTGGTATTTGTAAGAGCGTAAAAGATCGGCGAGCAGAGTGGCCTGTGGAGTGCCTTCCAGAAGATCGAGCGGCGTCTTGTCCTTGTTGTTTCTGACCTGCTCAAGGAGTTTACAACTTCTGTCCACGCTTACCAGGAAACAAGCTAATGCTAATTCAGTCTTTGCGCCTTGCCTCGCCAGGTTCTGCCAGATCTGCCCGAAAGGAAGACGTTCATCAGAAAAAATTATATACATGTATAGGATTGGCCCACGTATTCAACGCAAGAACTTGGACGACGTACGGCATATATTAGCGGTGAATCCCGGCTACTTTCGGATGTAGGCACGGCAGTCTGTTGATTCGGGCTCTTGGCTATCGCGATATGTAGCACGGTGTCACCGTCCTCGTCTGTGCTGCCGACGTCCGCGTTGTGATGCACCAGCAGCTCAACGAGCGACCAGTGGCCCTGCGAAGTCGCCAGGTGCAACGGCGTTTGCCGCCGATTGTTGCGCAGATCGACCTTTGCGCGGCCGCCGTTCTGTGACAGAAGAATAGCTGCAACTTCCCTGTGTCCGTTTAACGCCGCCAGGTGCAACGCTGCAAATCCATCCTCCTTTTTCACGTCCACCAAGTGACGCGCGCGTGCAACCAGCCTCTCCGTTGCACTGTGAAATCACAGATTTGCGAGATGAATTAGACTCGTGCGAATTTTAAGTTCGGCCAAGCTACACTTGATTTAATCTGCCTTGTACACGTACTGAGCGTTGCCCTTGAGCGCGGCGTGATGGAGGATGTTGAAGCCCCGTTTGTTTCGCAACGTGAAGTCAACCCTGTCACAGGTGCATAACGCGTCGATCACGTCCAACGCGTCCTTTCCGATCGCGTCGTGCAACGCTGTATCGCCGTACGAGTCCTGGAGATTAACGTCGCAATGAAATCGCAGCAATACCCTCACGCACTGCACGTGCTGC